TCTTGGCATAATGTGGTATTTGTTGCACCACTAGCTAAATCATCCGTGAACTGCATTGCAATCAGTTCTTTTTTGTCTCACTGGAGACGTTTTTATGCTAATATGCATAATTGTTTAAATATATCACTGCCAAGTATTGGTACCTGACATAAATGGAAATCTGTGCTAGATTTTTTGATGCTTTAGATTTTTTAATCCAGTAATCACAAATGAGTGGAAAGGTCAAGAAAAAGTCATGGCAATTCATGGCAAAAAATATGGGAGTTAATTTATTACATTTTTAAAAATTATCAAAATGTGCCTATGACCTTAATGAACATTATTTCCATCTGTGTCCATTTTAAATTGCAGCTTACCAGAAGAACTAATGATCCCAACTCATATGTGGAGTTTTCCATTGATCAGCAAAGTCAAAAAAGCAAGGTATGTAACTTTTTGGAATGTAATTCTAATGTTAATCCACTCTGTTTTTCCCAGAACTCAATGAATCAGAAATGTAGAAGCTGGAGTGTTTTCATCTGTGTTTGTATTTGTTCTGCCAGGTTGTGTTTGCCTCAAAAGACCCAACTTATGATGAATGCTTCACATTCTTTGTGCACAGTGTGAATAACCAAGTGTTGAATGTTGAGGTAAACCAGTCTTAAAACCATAACCCATTTTACAATATTAAAGAAGAACTAATTATTCTTGTTCTTCTATACACAAGACTCGATAACTATAACACACTCATAGTATTATAATATAATTCATAGAAAATGATGTCTCTCTTTCGTTTACCCTGTGGCCATAGGTAAAAGAACACGAGAAGAAATCCTCGTTGGGCAAACTCACTCTGCCATTGGTCCGGCTGCTCAATGTATCTGACATGACCATGGACCAGCGCTTTCTGCTTGAGCGCTCCGGAGCCAACAGCCAGATCAAGATGAAAGCTGTTCTCAGGGTGAGTGAATGAGTGAGTGAGTGAACTACAGCAGCTGTTTTTATTTTCTTCTGGATTTCACAAGCCCAAACACAGTGCTAAATCTATCATACAAAAAAAAAAATCTTTACACTTTACCTTAATGTTAAATGCAATAACATTAGTTATCATTAAATAACAATAAACTTTACAGCATTTATTTATTTCGATTAATAATAAAACATTACAGTTTGCATAAATAATTTAATATATTTATAATGAATATGAATTTAAAAAGAACAGTACTATATTTAAATTTATTAACCTAGATTCATAAATGGTGTAAAAATTGTTGTTCAGTGTTAGTTCATAATACCTAATGCATTAAAGGGTTAGTTCACCCAAAAATGAAAAATCTGTCATTAATTACTCACCCTCATGTCGTTTCAAACCCGTAAGACCTTCGTTCATCTTCGGAACAAAAATTACGATATTTTTGATGGAATCTGACAGCTCTCTCATAGACAGCAATACAACTGAAATGTTCCCAAGTCCAGAAACGTAGCAAGGAGATCTGTAAAATAATCAGACGAATTGTTGGATTAGGTCGTGATTTTTTTTCTTTTGTGCACAAAAAGTATTCTCGTAGCTTCGTATAATTACGGTTGAACCCCTGATGTCACATGGATTATTTTACACTGAAATGTTCCCAAGTCCAGAAACGTAGCAAGGAGATCTGTAAAATAATCCATGTGACATCAGTGGTTCATCCGCAATTATATGAAGCTACGAGAATACTTTTTGTGCGCAAAAGAAAAAAAAAAAGACTTTATTCAACAGTTTGTCTCCTCCGCGTCACCCTGTAGCGCCATTTTGGAGAATATCAGCTGGACGTAAACCGCGTATGCTGTTCTGTGTCAGCTGCGTCACACGGATACGCTGTTTTCGTTCAGATCAAATCACAACAACGTAGGAAACAGGAGGGTCAGAGAGCTCTCAGATTCCATCAAAAATATCTTAATTTGTGTTCCGAAGATGAACGGAGGTCTTACGGGTTTGAAACGACACGAGGGTGAGTAATTAATGACAGAATTTTCAGTTTTGGGTGAACTAACCCTTTAACTAATTTGAACAAATCTAACCTTTTGTGAAGTGTCAAAATTATATTTTTCCCCTACATTTTTAAAGTTCATAAGTCTGTTTATTTTGCTATCCTGCCATCCATAACCCAATCAGAACAGACCTGTGTCCCGAGTTTGAGTCACGGCCAACCAGTTTAGAATCACTGAGCTGAAGAACAGCGAAAAAATTTTATGTATATATTTAAGTGTTCTATTACATATCAAGACACAGATTACTATAATAATGACTATAATGTTGTAATATTTGCTGGGATAATGGTTAACAATGACATTATACCTGTCGTCTCAATTAGATTCTTACGTTGGAGAAACTGGAACCAAAGGTTGTCACTCCACCAGTTGCCACTCAAACTCCAGTTCCAGCTCAACCTGTACAGGGCATCCCGAAAGTGCCTGTTTCATCTGTCCCACTCTCCAGAACACAGACTGTTCCTGTCCCTATGCCATCTTCAGTCAGCTCCTATAATGAACTCCAAGCGGAGTATACTCCCTACCGACGAAGCACTTTCGTGGGCACAGAGCCGCTGCGTTCAACCCCCTCCACCCCCAGTCAAATGCGTCGCTACGATTCCCACAGCCTGTTGTCGGAGAACTCTATAGCTTCTTCTCGCTTCGATCTAACAGACAATGCTACTTATCCAGAGTAGGTACAATCTGGTGCTGCTTACAAATTTGTGTCCTACAAAAAACTTCAGATTTAACCGATGTGTTTATATGTTCATTGAAGGGCCATTTTGAATCATCAGGGCAGCTTTGGACAGATCCAACTCACATTGCGTTATGCCACCTTAAGGAAACGGCTCATTGTGATTGTCAGCAGCTGCAGGTAAGTTGCTTATCCCTCTTTTTATTTAACTTGTAATCATTGTAACTATCACAGATCAAAGAATCATAAGAACTATGATTTATTCTACTTAGGGATCTGTTCTCCTGCAGCGAGAGGGGCTCTGATACTTACGTCCGCATGTATCTGCTGCCTGATCAGACGTGGAAGCACCGCAAGCGTACTTCAGTTAAAAAGAAGACCGTGAACCCCGTCTTCAATGAGACGTTAGAGCATATTTTCACCTCTTGAAAACCAAGTATTTTCATCTTTTGTTGGAACAGTTTCAAAGATTTCTAACGTAACTCTTCATCTCAGATTTGAGTTTGCTGTGTCAATGGAGGAAGCGAGAACAAGAAAGTTGGATGTTGCCGTCAAAAACAATAAAATGCTTCACAAAAGAGAGCGCAAGGAGATTGGAATGGTAAGTAGATAAAGAACATGGATTGACATGGATATATGAAGAAAAAACATATATCAAAAACATTTTCTAATATTCGGGACATTTCCTGACTGTCACTTTAAAAAATTTCATTTGATGCTTTTTCAAAAGGTTTTGATCGATATGTCTGAAATGGATCTCATCAAGGGTTTCACAGAAATGTAAGGACTGCAAATGTGGTCAGCTAAGATTTTTTGTGGCTTTTAGAGTGCAACAGTTGGATTCCAGAAGTAAAAACTTCCTTTTCTCCATAGGGAAATAGATTTTTAATGACAACTTATAAAGCTTTAAAGACCGTTGTGAGCTCAGAGGTTGTTTATTGATGGGATATGCTTTTGTTGAAACCATCTGTTTGCATTATTTCGACTTATTCAAAATAATCATGTTTAACAGCACAATTTATGGTGAAAAACTAAATGACCAAAGATGCTGTGAAAAAAATTCCACCAGCAAATTGCACTAAAAGAGCTTGCAGGGAATGCCCACTCCCATGAAACACAGGGAATGTTGGCTGGTTGGTTTGGTTCATGGCTTATAATGCTTTAATTAATACTTTTTAAAAATCCTTATGGGAGAAATGAATAGAAAAAATACTTCTGAAACCCACGCCACTGAAAAAGTGGGCATGCACTAATGTACTCTGTTGCGCAGCTGAATCTTTAATTTATAAGGTTTAAGTGTGCAGATGGTGTATGTTTATGTGTAACTTTTTCTCTGTAATTAAACAGGTATGAACTCACTCTCCCTGGGCTAAAGAAGACAAATTAGGAGAACACAAAATAACTGAGCAAATGTATTATTTTTGCTCATAATTTTATTTTTACCTGCTGAAAGCTACTTAGATGAGACAGACTAAGCACTTTGACACTGACTTGGTGATTTGAATACATAATTCCTAAATCAACACAATATTTCCCCCATCATTATTTTGTGTCTCATTGCTGATATTGACATCATGCCATCCTGTCAGTTTTTACATTCATTTTCACTGAAATAATTTTTTTTGGTGTGTGTGTGGTACAGTAATTCTTGACATGACAGAAGGTTATCTGTCTTTCAATATTTCTCAATCTTTCTGTCCAAGTATATATAAGATTTGGAGTTTTTCATTATAAATATTAGTATGAAGACAAGTATATAGACAAATATGATTTTAAAACTTAAAACACAAAGTATTATTTTTGGCTGTTATATTGGAATTCAAGATTCCCAAGATCTAGTTTTCCAATAATATATCTTTAATATGTCTACTTTCTGGACAAATCAGAAATTTAACTGTATTGATTTATTTTTATATTCATAACTAAGATGTGGAATAGCAAAACATACTTGTTGATTGTGCCTATAAACGTTTTTGAATGCCAAAAGTATCAGTTGTATGTTGTGTAAGGGTGTAAGAATTTACAATAAAAGAATTTGAAGTTTTGAAGATCTTTATTTGCAGAGCAGTTTGTTTACATTGCCTGAGGATTGTGTTGTTTGTGCATATCTAGTGAAAATATCACCAGGATTAACAATTTTGTAAACTTTACAGTAGAAACAACAGAAAATGATTTCATAAGGCACTTGCAGTTTTCGTAATTAAAGCCCTTTCAAAATGTAATGATTCAATAAGACGTTATGGGTAGGCTACTATAGTTTCATTTAAAAACCTTCTTGATTTTATCGAATGTGATCCAATCTTCGGCCTCACTGTGTAAAATGATTGATCTTCAGTGACTAAGTAAAAGTGATTAAATATTCAGGATAAGCATTATCATCTCGGAATACCACAAAAATGGTAGGCGCATTAGGGTTGTCCACAACCGTGTCGTACTGGTCAAAGTTGGCATTTTTTGCAGGTGGCACAAACATCGTTGAATTTCCTGTAGTATAATCACCCGTAAGGACTCTGCAGAGGTACATGTGCTTATGTCCCTGAGCATTAGGCACTGAGTATGTGTTATTAGAAGAGTATCTTGCATTGAGTGCAAAGTAAGTGCCTTTTCCATATGCAGTAGCTGTAACAAGAAACATTAAGAGATCAACAACACATAAATCTAACACTTCAAATCAAGTATAATGATGGAATGTGAAGTTTGAATATTTAAGTGATTGTAGAAAATGCTTTACCATTTTTTCCTGCATAGCTGCGATTAAAGCCACTCTTTTCGATGTGACTGATAGTCTGCTCACTGGTTCCATGAAAGAGTCTTTTCTCATTCTTTTGATGACCATTCTTTTTTTCCATGACACTTTTGTTATTCTGGTAGTTCCTCCACATGCCAGGATTCTGGATTCGTTCAATCTACAGAAAACAAATAACAATCCCATAATGGATACAAGTATGAAACTGAGTTGTCTGTGATGTTGCCATGCGTTTATTTCGTGGCCGTTTACAATGTATTGCACTGCATGTCTAATTCAAAAATTAGATCCACCTACAATCACCCTAAAAATTCTATCTATAACCATGGGTTGAAATCCTCTCAAATTGAATGAACTGTTCAGAAAACACAAAAAGTAATATTTTAGGAGAGAAATGCATTTTAGTTAGCAATGTTCAATTCTGTATGTTAAAGGTTTAGTTCACCCAAAAATGAAAATTAGACTGTGTTTTACTTACGCTCGAAGCATCCTAGGTGTATATGACTTTCTTCTTTCAGACGAATCCAGTCGGAGTTATATAAAAAATTGTCCTGCTATTCCAAGCTCTATCATTGCAGTCAGCGGGTGTTGCAGTTGAACAGTCCACAAGTCGTCAAATAAAGCGCGCGCATTCATAATAAAACGTGCCCCCTCGGTTTGTACTTCTAATTCGTGACCGGCGTTTTGTTTTGTTCTCTCTCCGCATTCGTCACTAATCACGCAACGCCGACATGCTGCGTCATCCGCCGGAACTGCTTCAGTGTAAGACAGTCAGCGGAAGTGAGAGAAAAGTGTTCATTTCATTTGAAATATGGATATTTTTCTTACAAAAACACATGGATTCGCTACAGAAGGCCTTTATTCA